AGTGGGGGGGGGGGGATTTGATGTTATGAGCAGTATGAAAAATTACTCTCTGTAATGCATTTCATTATATTTAAACAAACCAAATCATAATCAGTATCAACATGTAAGTGTTTAATAAGCTTTAATGCAGATCTAACAGGCTGGAGGAAAATTAGACATTGCGCAATATTTCAGACATTAAGAGAAAAAAATCTATCCAACCATTAACCACTAATGGGGCTAAAAGAGTTCCTGAAGTAACATCCTTTCAATTTAAAATTAAACATTGTCCATACATAATTGATGCGATAATGAAGATCTATCTGAACCCCAAGAGTCAGTGCAGCTGTTTTTGTGGTGGCGACCCTGTTTGTGTCATTACTGCACACACGAGTGAGTATTTGGGTCACAGGAGACAAAGCCATCAGAGACAAAGACCACAGCCTGTATTATCGCACCCAAACACACTGATATCAGTCTTAATCCCTTCCACGAAAGACATAATATGCATTTCAAGACTTTCATTCCACGCTTGATAGAGGATGACTCTTCTGCAACTCATAAAAAAGGAGGTTGTTCGTATTACAATGACAAATGGATTCAAAGAGCTTTGGTACATTTGTAATAAAACAGACAAACACCAGCACATATGGAACGCAAACAATCTGTTCAGCAAATCTTTTAGCAGCCGTAAAATCTATTACCAGATGAAGGGATCATGACCATGTCTGCCAGTTATTTCAGTAAATGTTACAAAAGACACTGTTGTACAGACAAAGTGATGTGTGACATTGGCTGCAAGATTTTGTAAGGTGAGTCCAGGACAGTCTCCATCTCTCCAAGGTCAGGACACAACATAAAGGAATTACGCTACCAATCCCTCATCCTAAAATCTGCTCTTACATTACTGAACATAAATCGAACTTAAAAGGGTTTCAGGTTCTCTCTGTCTGAGGTAACTGCTAGCCGTGCAAAATGATTGTATTCAGCTGTACTGAAGTGAAACTCAACAACTGCAGAAATATGATACAGACGAATTTCCCTCCTTTGGAAGTTCACACCATTCTTTATGCGAGAAAAAAATTATTCAGGTAAAAAATGCTTTGTAGAGTCAATACTCTGTAAAATAAATCTTTACCAGCATTTTTTTCCTTCAGTTTGAGGGTTGAAACTGAATGGATTTACGATTATTGTCAGCAATAATCGTTTCTGTCCTTCAAGGTTACTCAAACTTCACCTCATTTCATTGACGAGTCACTGATCTGCCAACAGTAAGACTGAAAATACCATAAAATCCCAAGAAACACCTCAGAGACAAGTAAAGACAAACACGGCAAGGGAGGCGACCAGCACTGCCTTTCATGAACGAAATCCTGCCCTGACAAATAAGCCCCAGAACTTAAGGAATAGCCGGGCATGATCCGACATACTCGGCACAACCAAGCTGAAGGATTCTGCTGGCCAGCCAGAGGCAAAATGGTGCTGGAATTTAAAAGACAATAACCTGCATTTTAGATAAAGTCACTTCTGTTCAAAAACCAGTCTGATGCATTCAATGATGCCATATGACATTACAAAGCAATCCTGATGGTAACCAATGCATTTTTTGGTGTATAACTTAAAATGTTTAAAAAAGTAACCAACTACAGCTTGATGGACAGTTTGTAAGCACTTCCAATAAACATATTTCTGCAGGGAATTGAACAGTAATCTGGCAGGTCCACACCCTTATAAAGATGTTCAAACGAGCCTTTCAAATCCAGCTGAGTAGGTACCAACAGCCCTTATTATTGTTAGTCACCAAATCTAGGAAGTTTTCCTAACAACAGTAGGTAAGGAGATACGCCAAAAGATGACTGAGATCTGACCAATCAGATCGAAGGAAACTTTAGCAGGACTCATCTTGTCCAAAGTGTTGTGTTATATGTAGAATTAGGAAGTGTGAGTTTATTGGATTTATTGAATTAAGCAGTCATATGAAAATGAGTAACCTCTAAAACTAAAATATTAGAGGTCCTAATCATCACTTAGATAAAATGTAAAATGCAAGATTTTTCTTTCAAGCACTGTTGTAAGCAGCCGTGAATCAGCTTGAGGGAACTACAGCTGCAGTCAGAGACACACCCTGATACTCTCACACAGGAAGTCCTTCTTGTGGCCAATGCCTCCATGCAGACAGTTTCCTGTGTGGCAAACTGCTACATAAGCTCATGGTGAGGGATTGCTGAACTCTACTCAACCTCACCACATTTTCCTTCAAACATTTGATCTCAGAAAAAAAAAAACCTCCCCATCCAAACAAAACACTGTGATCGAGCTGACAGAGCAATTTCCTCTTCTAATGAAGGTCAGGGGGAAGCATGGACTGACTGTTAGAAACAAATCCTTGATGTATCTAATAATAGATTAGAAAAACATTGTTCTGCAGCTGCACAGAAGCATATCATCTAAATGAGGTCTTTTGCAATGTTCCTAACTTCCTACAGAACATACAGTGTGGGGTGGGCAAATATACTGCCAGTGTTACACAAGGGCGTTTCAGATTAGGGCTGCTTGATTTGGATTCCCAAGTTTGGTGTACTTGTTTGTAGGGCTTCAAAAATTATTTGATTATATATCAATATGAGTGGTATTAAAATAATAAACACAATGAGAAGTTTTACTACTGTTTTTCCCTGTAAAATTAAAATGACAAAATTCCAAGCAGAAAACTGCAGAGAGTCCTGAAAACTTTACTTTTGTTGCTAATCATCACTTAGATAAAATGTAAAATGCAAGATTTTTCTTTCAAGCACTGTTGTAAGCAGCCGTGAATCAGCTTGAGGGAACTACAGCTGCAGTCAGAGACACACCCTGATACTCTCACACAGGAAGTCCTTCTTGTGGCCAATGCCTCCATGCAGACAGTTTCCTGTGTGGCAAACTGCTACATAAGCTCATGGTGAGGGATTGCTGAACTCTACTCAACCTCACCACATTTTCCTTCAACATTTGATCTCAGAAAAAAAAAAAACCTCCCCATCCAAACAAAACACTGTGATCGAGCTGACAGAGCAATTTCCTCTTCTAATGAAGGTCAGGGGGAAGCATGGACTGACTGTTAGAAACAAATCCTTGATGTATCTAATAATAGATTAGAAAAACATTGTTCTGCAGCTGCACAGAAGGATATCATCTAAATGAGGTCTTTTGCAATGTTCCTAACTTCCTACAGAACATACAGTGTGGGGTGGGTAAATATACTGCCAGTGTTACACAAGGGCGTTTCAGATTAGGGCTGCTTGATTTGGATTCCCAAGTTTGGTGTACTTGTTTGTAGGGCTTCAAAAATTATTTGATTATATATCAATATGAGTGGTATTAAAATAATAAACACAATGAGAAGTTTTACTACTGTTTTTCCCTGTAAAATTAAAATGACAAAATTCCAAGCAGAAAACTGCAGAGAGTCCTGAAAACTTTACTTTTGTTGAGAGCAGCAAGTTTTAAAATGGTCTAAAGCCATATAGCTTTGCATGATGAACGGACAAACATTTATTAAATGTTATTTACTTTTTTGGGATAAATTCACAGCACTAAAGACATTAACAATTAACACTCAGTCAGCTGTTGACAAATTTTGCCAATCAATTTGCATTTAAATAACAGGCCGCTCATGAATTTCACACAGCATAAGGAGTTAGGAAAAATGATATAAATGACCTCAAAAGTAATGTACTTATGAATAACGATCCTTCCCATTTCCAGGTCTAGAACAACATGCAGATATTAGACATAAGGAGAGAACATATTAGTGAGGATCCCCCAACACACAGTCAGAGCGTGCCTGGAAACAGGCCGCTCATGAATTTCACACAGCATAAGGAGTTAGGAAAAATATATATAAATGACCTCAAAAGTAATGTACTTATGAATTAACGATCCTTCCCATTTCCAGGTCTAGAACAACATGCAGATATTAGACATAAGGAGAGAACATATTAGTGAGGATCCCCCAACACACAGTCAGAGCGTGCCTGGGCTCCCCTGTCACTATTGAGATTTAAATGAAGCTTCTTTATTCAGCTCTGGAGAATAAAGAAACAGCCCTCTCATTAACAGAGCACATGTGCAGTGAGTGACTCAAACCCTATCTACACATTCAACACATTTGATTCATTTATAGACAGGTTTTCATACTAAACCCCACCTCTTCAAGATAGAAGACCCTCTTATATGATGTTGCAATGAACAAGTGCCAGAAATACCACACCATTCCAGTGTGCCATAAAATTGGGCTATTCTACTATTTCTACTACTATTCTGTTAACTGTTTCAGATGAACACAAATATAAAATAAACTGTGATTAGTTGCTTAACATGTTGGTCAGAGGGTCTCTTTTCCTGTCTAAGTAGGTGGTTCTTGGCCAGAATAATGTGCAATATGGACCAAATCTCATGCCGTTTAATCTGGCTATGCAAGACTAAGTTCCTTAGACTGCATTTTACCAATCACTCAAGAAAAGACATTTTGGCAGAGATTATGGTTCAAGAAGATTACAGCCCCAGTCCTAAACCCAGCTGGTGTTAAAGAGGCCAACATGCCTGCTGCCAGACTGACACTGTTGGTTATTTTGGGAATATTTGGTGAGGATTATTAAAGCCCAATGTGGACATTTAATCACTGAGATCTGAGCATTCGAACATTTGAACCACTCACTCACACACACAGACACACACAGACACGCACACAAAAGCATTAAAGCTATTATGTAGCCACCATTAAAAGCAGAAAGACAGAGAACAAAAATCAATGGTGAGGTCATTTCTAGTATAATCGCTCTCTGAATAGCTTCCTGAACACACTGGTTTGCGTTGAGCTGCACAAACGGCCCATTCAGAACAACTAATGAAAATGAAACAAAACCAAATGCTGGATGAAATCCAAACAACTACAATGAGCAGAAATGTGAAATACTGACACACTAAGGAGAGACTCCACCCCTGATATCCCCTAAAAAGCTTTTCTATAAATAAGGTGTAAAACTTCAATTCAATAATGCCAAAAACAGACCTTTTTATTTTGCTTTAAGGAAAAACAAAAGCAGACCAAAATGACCTCATCTGAGTAAGAGAATGAACAAGATCTGTTTTTTAAAGTGTTAAATGAGGTAACAGAGAAAAGAGACTGTAATTCTTTTCTTCCACATGAAAGAGAAATCACATGACAAAGCAACTGGCCCACTCATGATGTCATGTTATTATATAAACATAAATCAGCAGAGTCACCTGTAATGGACTGTAAGGACTACAAATGACAGGGAACAGTTTCTAAGGGCTTATCTTTGAGAATGATAGTGTAGAAAGAAATACTTTTGAAGGGATATAAGTTGAAAAAACAAGTTTAGTAAGAACTGAATTAGCAATTCTACTGGTTGTCCTTAAATTGACATTGGTAAATGTATAGGTGAGTATTTTTGTGTTGATGTATTGTAGTATACTGTACCTGGGAGTATGTTGTTGACAGCTGTGGCGATGTTGATGTCTTGCAGGTGGTCGAGAGTCTGAACTTAGAGTGGTTACAATCATCCGGGTTTAAATCGCGCTCAAATTATTTGATTTTGACGCAATATTTACACTGAAGCTGGCAGTCGGCTATGGTAAGGGACATGACATTTCCGGACCAGGCGCCGAGTGGTGCCAATCACAACACACACTGGCCCAGCTAACCAATCACAGCACATTTCGTATTTCAGAAGGCGGGCCTTCATTGGATACAGGAACTATTCGAGCCATTCATGCCAGACTGGGGAGAGAGGTGTTGTAATAATGTAAAATATGTGAAAAATAATGTGTTTTTCGAACAACCTAGCATGCGAGCCTGCTCTAGTACACCCCTAAAACAAAATCTAGACTTTGTAAAAGAGCATAATAAGACCCCTTTAACAGGGTTTGACAAATATATGTCCCACAAGCACATCAGAACCACCACATTATTAGACTGGTAAAAAGAGAAAGTTTCGTATTTCAGAAGACGTGCCTTCATTTGATACAGGAACTATTCGAGCCATTCATGCCAGACTGGGGAGAGAGGTGTTGTAATAATGTAAAATATGTGAAAAATAATGTGTTTTTCGAACAACCTAGCATGCGAGCCTGCTCTAGTACACCCCTAAAACAAAATCAAGACTTTGTAAAAGAGCATAATAAGACCCCTTTAACAGGGTTTGACAAATATATGTCCCACAAGCACATCAGAACCACCACATTATTAGACTGGTAAAAAGAGAAAAAGAGAACCTGGCTCTTGCGTTTCTGCACATCAGAATCTGTGATATTCATCTCATTTAAGATGATCTCAAATACCACTTTCTATTTGCATCACTGATTCCTATTTATTTCCAGCACACCTCTCACATATTCATCCCTCACTCTATCTTCCATTCCAGCCAATCGTTTAACAGTAAGCAGAGCTGTTGAAGGGTAATGAGCTTAGTGAAGCTGGCTGGATAGCAGGTCAGTGTGTCATTGTCTGCATGTTGGAGAGAGAACACATGGCTTTAATATTTTGAGATCACAGGCCTTTCTGGCCCAATGTGCTGTGAGAATGAGTCAAGAAACAGAGTTTTTTTCACTCTCTTAAGATAAATTAGATAGTTGCTAGTGGCATCACAGCATTTGGTCAAAACAATATAGACCCACACATATATTTAAATTAGGGCTGTCAGTCGATTAAAACTTTTCATCTAATTAACTACATGTGCCGATTAATTAATCGCAAATTAAATTTTGCTGTGAAAATACCCCATATAAATCATTTAAAGTCATTATTGTGTTAAATGAGAAAAATGTCAAGTAGATATTACAAAAAGTAGCTTTAGAAAGAAATATTTTATTTGATTCAACATAAAATTCATTAAACAAACGTTTAGGCTAGAATGGCCTAACATAAGCTATAAAAGAAGATAATTTGAGAAACATCTCAGTATTTTTTGTTCATACAATGAAAGTCATTTGTAACCAAATCAGCTTGGCTACCAACATTTTTCGTTTTCTTCTGGTTTCCAACATTCTTCATTATTTTCTTTTATGTTCCATAAAAGAAAGTAAGTGATACAGGTTTGAAACCACATGAGGGTGAGTAAATGATGACAGAATTTTTCTTTTTGGGTGAACAATCACTTTATTTACTTAAATTTTTTAAATATATTTTTTTATTTTTTTACTGAAATGTTACTCTATATACGAAACTAAAACTGCCAGCACGTTATGGTTAATGTCTTTATGAGTGTAAGTAATTGAGTTATTTATTCATTCGATTTGTCCAAACTGCTGATTCATTCAGGAAAGAAGTAAATGACTCTCTTTATGAATGGGCCATTAAATCATTGGTTCACCTGATTCGTTCAAAACGTGGATTCATTCAGAAACAAATCACCGCTTTATGTTGCTCAGAGACACACAACAGTTCTGCTGTGGCTTTATAGGTAATATTTTCTTAGGAAAAATTGAGCAAAACAGATAATATTGTGACCCATATAAAATACAGCACAATATTAACTTCTAATTTACTGAACTGTTGTTTAAAATCACATTTGCACTCGTGCTATTCGGGACAAAAACAGCACTCATATGATATTGCGCTGGCTGCTCGTGTGATATTGCTTATCGTATTATATAAATATGAGACAAAAACTCACACGGGCATTTTTTGCCCCAATATCTTACATTGTAAAGACATATAACTGAATTTAGGGACTACATTACGCAGTGAGTTGTTGCCCTGCATCACGTTGGTCAACAGTCAACTGTATGAAATGTAAGATGACGTATTGGTCTGGGATGGAGCGGGTGCATTAATGGCATTAAAATATTTTAATTGCGATATTTTCTGTAACTAATTAATTAAATTAACACGCTAAAACAACAGCCCTAATTTAAATATGCAAATAATAGTCTAAAGTCATGCAGAACCCTTGCAATATTCTGTCCGTTGGGTTCATTGCAACAAACTTTTTAAGACTTAATGAAATGAGAGCGTAGGAAAAAACATCTTATTTCATTCTGAAGTCATTATCAAATGATCATAAATTGAATATCTAGGTGTAAACAAATCAAAGGTTCAAGTTTTGAACAACAATTCTGTGTTTTTCTGTCAATATGGGGTGCTGTGTGTACATTAATGAGGAAAAAAATTAACTTAAATGATTTTAGCAAATGGCTGCAATATAACAAAGAGTGACAAATTTAAGGGGGTCTGAATACTTTCCGTACCCACTGTACATACATAAACATATATGCATGTTTTATAATGTTAATATATGTTTGATATGTTAAAATATACTAATATTTGGATTTTATAGTAATAAATATATTCTTGAAAACTGTAACACTATTTGCTAAACTAAAACCTGGTCGTTTCAGGAGCAAAACAGGTGTCAGTGCAGAAATGTGTGTGAAATGTGCTGTACTACCTCCACAGTGTGTGTCTGTGTGCTGATGATGAAGATCTGCCCTCCTGATGAGGCCCAGACGTGTTCACCCACCACCAGCAGGGCTTTAACCGGCAACACCCCCAGCTTCAGCACACGGGCCCCTGACTCGACCCAGGAATCGTCTGTGAGGGAGAGAAAACACATGAAGACAATCTGAATCTCAGATATCAATGTTTGCAGATGTACAGAGAGTATAAGGGTTTGTTAACACTGAGTGTGAAAGATTTCATGTGAAACTGAGAAATTAGGTTAAAGGTTACATATGATGTTGTCACACAGAGGGTAGGGCTGATACTACATCCTGTGCTTCTCACCCACACTTTGTGTGTGGGTTTCCTGCAAAAATATGGTGACCTCACAGCATTCAGAGAGCAGAATGGAGGCGTGTTGAGTGTTTGTTTAAGTCACAAAGGCATTATTGAAGAGAGCCCTGACAATCATCGAGGTTAAAGAACACCTCTCATGGTGGAAATACTAGTACCAGTAGTATTTTTAACCAAAAAAATGTTGGATCTCATCCTGGAGCTGGTGTTCTGACTGGGTATCTATTGGCAAACCTCTTTCAGCATCAGCTGAATGTTGAACTGAATGATTCTGTTACAGTCTTTTTTTATGAGCTAAATTTTGAGAACATATTCTGACATTTAAAGTAATTAGATTCAGGAGCAAGTGCTTCTTTTAATGCAATGAATAAAATAATGGCAAATCAATCAACACATTAGATATTTGTAAGTTTAATCATTTTATTAAAGACAAATTACTGTAGGAAAAATGTGGCTGGAGCCACTGTGGAACGTGACACACTATTTTTCAAAAATTATGATTTGTTTTTCAGCAAGGCTGGATTTATTTGATCAAAAACACATATTATGATATATTATTAGAATTTAAAATAACTGTTTTTCATTTTATTATATTTTTAAAATGTAATTTATACCTGTGATGGCGAAGCTGAATTTTCAGAAATCATTCTAACATGCTGATTTGCTGCTCAAGAAACATTTCTTATTATAATCAATGCTAAAAACAGTTGTGGTACTTAATATTTTGTGACATGTGATATGGACAATTTTGAATGATGAAAAGATAAAATGGAGAGAGAAGCTAAAAATAAATAAATAAAAGAATAAAATGTTTAATAACATGATTTACAACATGTTTAATAACATTTAAACTGACCCATAATAATCTTCACAAATCACTGATAGCCTGGATCTGTTTCTGCCTGCACCTTCCCACCCTCCAGCGTATTTGAGCGGATCTTTATTCAGCCTGTTTGCCTCAAGAGGCTCTGATTACATAACACCAGCGCCTACACTGCATTCCCAAACCCTCTCTCTTCGTCTCTTGCTCTGATTCAAACAGACTTGTGATGAGCAGAGTTGTAAGAGGAAAAAAAGTGTTTTAATGAAGACACAGATTTTAGTGATTAAATGTCAATCTTTACATTAGCACTAAAGACGTTCTGTATTCAGCTGAATGAATAAAATGTAAATGAAGACAGACTTTGATTCAGAACACAAGGCTCATGATCTGATAATGCTACCACATGATGAAAATCTCATTGTGTTATTGCATTCATCTGGAACTGTGCAGTATTTCTGAAATGGCTCATCCAATGAGTATCACTAAACGTTAAGTATTACATTATGTGAATACTAAGAAGAGAAAACTGGAAAAAGTATTATAATGCAGTTATATAAACTACCAGTTAAAGTCTGGGGTCATTCTTTATTCTGAGTCTTTTGGTTCTTTATTTGATCACAAAATACAGTAAAACTGCAATATTGTGAAATATTACTACAACTTTAATTATTTACTACTTGAATATATTTTAAAATGTAATTTATTCATGTGATGGCAAAGCGGAATTTTCATGAGCCTCTAGAAATAATTCTAATATGCTGATTTGGTGCTTAAGAAAAACAGTTGGGCTGCTTAATATTTTTGTGTGTGTGTGTGTATATATATATATATATATATATATATATATATATATATATATATATATATATATATACATATACACACGCACACTTTTTTTCATTGGTGGAGAAAAATAGAATAAAGTTAACAAATTTATTAGACCACCACCCAAGCTGTCCTAAACTAACAGTATTGGTGATTACCAAAATCATTTTTTATGTTTCTGTAATGGCTAATCCACCAGTATGTGTAAGCTCTTTAGTCACAGTAGTTTTTCTAATGCTAAAATAATTATAGTTGTCATCCATGAATTTTTCAAATGTACTGTTTTACAAGAAAGGCAGAAAAAAAATAAAAATAGTAAAGCACTTTATTATTATTATTTTAATTTTATTCAGATGCCCAATTACAGATATTTACTTCCAGTCCTTAATAGAAAAATAAGTTTTAATGGTTCAATGTTACACTTGATTAATTTCTGACTTCTGAAAGAAGTTGAATGTGCCGGATCAAATTTGGGAATAAAAATGCAAATTCATAAAGACCATTTAGTTGTTTCAGTTTGTTATTTGCCTAATAAATGAAAAGTTTTTGACAGATACCTAAAATATTTGTGTTTTCTTTTTTATCATGACAGGTGGTCTAATAAATTTGTTAAGCACTGTATATATACACATATATATATATATATATATATATATATATATATATATATATATATACACACACACACACATTGTATGGGTCCAAATTAATGATTTTTCTTTTATATAAAAAATCATTAGGATATTAAGTAAAGATCATGTTCCATGAAGATATTTTGTATATTTCCTACTGTAAATATAATAAAACTTCATTTTTGATTAGTAATATGCATTGCTAAGAACTTCATTTGGACAAATGTATTTGTCAGTATTTAGATTTTTTTGTATATATATATAAAGTATTAATTCTGAGTAACCAATTAAGCTCAATCAGCATATTAAACAATATCCCAAAACTATTTACTAAATATCTGTGGCAGCAGAAAACGAGCGAGAGTGAAATGGAATATGAGCGTTCCACAGAGAAAAGCAGCTGTGGAAAGAATTAATGAGAGACAGGGAAAAATATTTTTAAACGTCTCACTTTCCCTGAGCACTTTCCAGAGCTTTCCCTGCTGAAACCTGCTTAGACTAGTGTGAATTCTGAAGGCTAGTTTATGCTGGTTACTTAATGTCATAGTCTCGCTGTTCACCAGGGATGGGTGGATTACTTTTCCTAATACCAAAATAAAAGTCAAAACCCTTGATAACTCTTATCAAGATTAATACAGCAATCACTGCAGAAAAAAACTCCTTACCATCAGCCCTGGAGTAGACAACCAGAGAACCACTGACCAGGCCTGCATACAGACACCCACTCTTGTACACCAGACATGTGACGCTGGACTTATCAGGGGAGAAGAAGTGCTGCAGACGAACCTTCTTAGACCGTTGGCTGCTCTTATACACAGATATACTGACAAATAAAACATCAATTCATCAGATTAGACTCAGGTTAATAGACTAAGAATCGCTAGACAAACAAATGGAAGACATCGCACTCTCCTCTTCATCTATATGGTGTTTGTGGATTTACTGGTTGATGTACACACCTGCCTTCCTCCATTCCCAGACACACAGTCGGTGTCTCACTGGCTTTCCGGTCATCAGGCTTTATCTCGCCATTTTCCAATGACTCACCCAAGGGCACATACGTCATGCAAAGAATACGAGACTCCACGTTGAAACACTCAGTCACTTTGGGATTCGAGTTCTGCAATGCCACAATGGAGACCTGGCCCATGTGATTGGTGCAGCTGGCCACCTGAAAAGAAAGAGATTATTTCAGAATCTACACACCGATAAAAACATCTCACTGTTTCTTTAAACTGTTCAACAAAACTGATATGAATACTAAAGTCTGAGGCTTTTTCCAAAGGTGATGTCTCAGATCGATGGTACACATGCTGAGTGCTCTTGAAGGAGTGTAGCCCATTATTGCAGGCTCTTAGGTGTCTCAGAGAGGAGAGTTATTATATGACCTTCTATACAGCATAAAAGCCTTTAATGCAACCTTACACTCACACTGTCCACACAGAACAGTGTTTAATGATGCTTTTAGAGCTCAAAAGAGCTTTGAAAATTATTAAATGCTATTTCAGGTCAAGTACAATTTGGCAACAAATATTGACACACACCAGACTGACAGATTCGTCCCATGTTGGACTCTAATAAGGAAGCTGAACTGATTTAATATAAAAGCATTTGAAGTTTTGACCGTAAATAGTCTCTAGACTCACCCACACACATCCGTGACCCATAACAGGCACATCTGCAGTGCTGTCAGTGTTCAAATGAGGCTCAGGGTTGTGAACTGCACACTCCACCTAACACAAATACACAATGGTTTATTAGACCATTTTTGCTATTATAAACAATACTGATAATGAGGACGCAAGACGCTCGCTTTGTCACCTTGAACTCCTGTAGTTTAGACATGACCACAGCCATCTGCTTGAGTAAGAGAGGATGGTTCTGCTTCCTCATCTGATTATCATCTTCAGCACAAAACCAGCCTTGGATGTTGTCTTCTACTATAAAAACACATTACATTAGTGAAGCTTTCCTCAGATTCTACAAACCAATAGTATTCCCATATGTGTCCTCCTGTTGCCAGTATTATAATCCATTTGTCTGCACTGAACGTTTAGTTCTGGCTCAGCTGAGCGATTATTCACACACTAAACAATATCCAGCTGGCACAACTTTTTTTTCAATGTATTACGAACATGTTTATTTTGAAAATACGCTGGGAACATCATATTAAGGTGTTTAAATGTGATTTCAGACATTTTCGAAGCAGCTTTGGGTGCTTTTAAGTCCTAGATCTCTAAACATAGAAGAGTCATAGACAAAGACAGGATATGGAAACAGGAGCACATTACATGACACATACGTAGAGCCAGTTTAGCCATCTGCAGATTACTGATCCAAGCTTGCTTGATAGATGGACTGAAAGTGTTGAAGACTGCTGTGAAGAACGTGGGTCTACCGTACCTTAAAGTGTCAAAAATCACAAAGACAGTTCAGATTCTTCTCTGAAAAAGCTTCAACAATAGAAACAATACACATTGTCTGAATTCATTGTAAGTGCATCAGGCGGTATACAAATCTCTTGGGTAGTCTAAATATCTCAGCACGGGTTCAGCTGGTCTGGCAAAAGGTCAGACATCTGGAGAAACAGACAGGGTCCCATCCTGTTTATCAGTGACTCTGCAGGATATGATTTAATAATTGGCCAGTTTCAATACTGACCAAAGCACAGAATTGATAAGTTTTCTACACTGTTTAATTTGGTAATGGTTAGTATTTTTATGACTTGAAAGGGGCTCTTCAACTTTCATTGTGCAGAAATAATACAGTAGACCAGAACCAAAATAGTGAGGCATGTAATCCAGACTACTCCCACCACTAACTCAAAAAAGTCAACAGCATACATTTTCCAGAAGTCACAGTGTGTAAGAGAGATTTATGTTATCAGAGGAACTAGCTTGACAGCTGAGAGTCTAAAGATACTTCTATAATTCAGACACGAAAATCCAAGCATACAGTCGCTAATAATCTGTGTGTGCGTATGTTTTTGACAACTGCACACTCCAAAGCCCCTGATCCACAGGAGGAGGATAAAAACAGCACAAGACAGTCTTGGGGCTCTGATTAGGGACTTAAGGTCATTCTTTAAGCACCGAGTCACATAAACGCAGACATGGCAGTTTGATAATTAAAAAGCCTGAGTTTTAAGACATTCAGGAAGATCAAATAAATTCTAATTATGGTATATTTCTGCTCTCTAATGAATGATAATAATAATACAAAAAAAAAACAATTGCAATGTAACACATTATGAACACAATATGAACAATTAACTACAATAAGGAGTTAAGATTAATTACAATTAAATATGTAAATATATTTATAGCCCTCAAAAAATTTAAATTGGATCAGCAAGATTTCTTTATAAAGAAATTAATACTTTTATTCACCAATGATGCATCAAATTGATCAAAAGTGACAGTAAAAGACATTTATAAAGTGACAAAAGATTTCTAATTTCAAACAAAGGCAGTTATTTTTACATTTCTATTCATCAATGAATCTTGAAATCAATTTTGTATCAAGGTTTCCACAAAAATATTAATCAGCACAACTGTTTTTAACATTGATAATAATAAGAAACGCCACGGTCAAATCGAGGTCACACATACTTATCTTGTTTTCCTGGTAACTGTAGTTGTATCCTACAGCGATCAGCTGCCCGAATTTCCTCCTCTTTCTTTAAAATCAGGCGCTGGAGACCTGAAACCCAATCCTGAGCCACTGACCCATTAACATTCTGGAAAGAGAGAGTGTAAAATGGAATTTGAGTGGTAAGAACTGTGTGCACCCTGGTTTAAAGATCAGCATAAGTGATATGAACACCTCACCTGATAATTCCCCTTCAGACTGCTGATCATGGTAGAGATCTGGCTCACCAAACCCAGGTCATGGATCAGGTTCTGTAGGTCCTGGTAAAGCTGCCCTGGACCCATATACAACTTATCTGCAAATGAGACACAGCCGATTGAAGTTAAAACTCCAAGTAATATCAACATCATAATGCTATTTGTTTAGTTTGGGGCCATTAAAATTTCCTTTCTTCACTAGCTATAAGGATTACAGCTGAAACTGAATCATATTATACAGTGAATCATTAAACGCTGGTTCAGATGAGTCATTATGAGACTGTGCTGTCTGTTTCCCAAATACTGTCCCATACAATAGACTGCTTTGTGCTGCTCTGCTCTTCCAAGATAAAGAGAGAGACAGAAATGTAGAGTAGAGAGTGAGGGGGAAAGGAGATAGAGAGAAAGAGAGACAAAAGGAGCAAGAATGTATTTTCTTCTAGTCAGAGCTGAAGTAAAATGAGAGTCTCTCTCTCTCTCACACACACACATGGATACACCAAAGAAACATAAGGCTCGGAAGGGAGAGTCAGCCATAGGCCAAATGTTGCCTTGACAACTAGCTGAAATATGTTTAAGTACTAAAATTACTAAAACTAAAACTGAAATTAAAAATTAAAGTTATGAAGAAATATAACAAGCAATACAATTACTAAAATATAAATTTAAATTAAAAAGAAAACTATGAAAATATAAAAATACAAGCAAATACAAAATATGAATAAATACTATAATAGTACAAAAATAACACTGACAAAGACCAAGGTGGTACTTCAGCACTTCACAAAGTTACTAACTAAACATAACAGAAAAACTACATAAAATTTAAACTTCAGGTTTAGCAAAATTAATACATGTAAAATGGTACTCTGGAACTTCTCCATAACCTATTCACAGCATCCGTAACAGTGACATCACCTTCCCTCCTGGTAGCTTTTATTCTTCATGGTTAATTAAGAAAGAGGCTTGGAATGCAAGAGCTCTTGATTCAGTGCTCTAGTTTGAATCAGACCAGCTCTTGCACACAGACTGTGTTTTCAGTAACCATAGAGACAACACCATTCTTTTTCAAATGCGCAGAAAAGTTATTTTTCTAACTTCAAACATTAGTGCAACGGCACAGATAGTCTGGCGTGTTTCATCTGTGTCTAAAACTGTAAAAGCTTAAACTAGCATCCAATTGCCTACAGTGTTGTACTTTTACAGTGTGGGTTTTTGCATAATGTCTTGTAAAATCCCACCGGAGTCCCTTCTTTTGTCACCTCAGCTGTGCTGAATAGAGCACACGCAATGAAACAGGAAAAACAGTCTTTCCTCTTTTGTTCAGCTTCGTGAGTCAGTCTGACCCGTTCTCTCCAAACCACAAAAACAGAGCAGACAGCCTCCGAGGAGAGAAAAGACATCCTCAACGGCAGATGATTTTGAAAAGAAATGTTGCAGCATTAGGGGTCAAGCACTGAAGGGCTGTTTTATTATTAGTCTGTGTTTTCTGCACTGGAGTCTATGAGAGCTGCAGAATCCAAGAGATACAAATATGTAAGTCAGCACAACATTATAGATTTTCATCAAGCATTACATTAAAACCCATATTTACAAATGCACTGGAACAGCAGGAGGAACCCTTTGACTAAAATCCCTGAGGAAACAAGCAATCCAGAAGAGATGACTTTTAGTGGACTAGCACAGTGCAAAGCGAACACTTCAAAGCATCCTGTTTGGCTTGGTATAATGAGGAGAAATATTGTGTTTTTAACTTCTGTGCTTTAAGCAGAAAGCTTTTGAGTTCTCTCTAGTACCCTTTTCTCTCCCTATCCCCATCTCTCTATAGTTTTCTGTCTTTGCAGTTTTTCCTGACATGTTTCCATCAATAATTTATTTTCAGGATGTTACATTAAAAGCCAGACTTCAATCATGATTCTGTCAGACATGTCAAAATGTCTGGGACACTGGAAAAGCACAGTGAACTGTGTCTGACGCCAATATCTTCAGAGTCATATTTTCCACAGAACAACATGGAATAATCTATGACATCTTTATCTGGATGTGTCAGAAATCTGACCATGTTTTTTTTCTTAAATGTCACATCTCTGCACATTTAAAAATAACATAAGTGCATTGTTGCTTAAGGGTGGTGCAGAATGAATATCTCTCTAAGCACTTCCTCCTATTGCTACAATCACTTGGCTATGTTAAGTTTTTTGATTATTTTTTAAATCAAGCTGAAATTTCTATCCAAAACAACTTCCAGCACTGTATCTACAGCTATATTCCTTCTGGAAAAGCCTCATTCAAGGACATAGTTGTGGTCTGGGTTGTGATCTCTGTAATTGATGGCCCAACCAGTGCTTGAATGTGAAAAGTTTGGGTTTTTAACCCAGAACCTGAACCACCATTTGACCTTGACCTCCAGTAATACATGAAAATGACTCCCAGCACCAAGATTCAGTCAGACTTTGAGTTAGCTACAGAAATTTGCCACAAAGAAGATTTGTTTTGTTTTGTCTGTATAACAGGAACTTACTAGGTTTAGCATTAATGACGACTTTATCTCCTGAGTGCGAGGGGGGAAATCGGGAGTCGCCCATCTCCTCACTCGAGCCAAACTCTACGACCTCAACCAAACTCAAAGGGACGCTCCACTTGAGCAGGAAGCGTTGTCCTGAGGGAACACCTTCACCTCCAGCTCCCACACTCACGCCATCCTGAGAGGGGCTGAAAGAGAGAAAGGCAAAAGGCTAGACTTATGTGGAGATAGAAGGTTTTACTGTAAAGATTTAGAAATTTAAATATATTCTGGAGCGATGCTGTGCTAAAAAGTTCAGACTGACAGTTATCACAGTTAATGGATGTGTGTAACGGGTCATACCGCCAGTTAGGGGTGGCACACATGAGCACATCATTCAGAAGAAAGATTCGCCGTTCTTTTGTCTTAATGATCTCCCCACGATCGTTATAAACGGTTTCCACAACGTCATCAGAACGAATCAGATAACGGCTGCCGCTGCTCAGCAGCTGAGAGACAGGGAGAGAGAGATAAATGGAGAGAGAAGCAGAAACAGCAATAAAAGGACTGAGCTGGGAATAAAAAATTTAAGGGTCCTACTTTGTCACAGTCATTCATCAGTTGACCCTGGACACACACACACACACACACAAAATGGTCTGAGGGTTGATTTGAGGAGAAAAATGAAAAGTATAATATGCTAAAAACATTAAAATCTAACATCATGTTAAAATTTAACATCATTAAAATTACATCATTTTGAAATATTGAAAATATTCTAACATTAGCTAAAACAGGCCATAGAAGTTAAAAGCTAAAATGTGTTTCATACTTTATGTTAGACTCAATTTATAGAGAAAAAAACACCTATCCATCCACAAGAAAGAGCAAGCAGTCACAGAGTGCAAAGTTTAGCCAAATATATCAGAGCCCCAGATGGTGTGGAGCATTCAAGCTGGTTCTGTTTACAGGATTGGCTCAGTACTGACTTCATATGAGTGACAGCAGGGCTTCACTAAAATCAAGACACACTCTGGATTTAACCTCACAATGTGAAACTACCAAATGTCAAATAACAAATTTGACTAAACACCCACACACATACGCATTCATGCATTTTTTTTTTAGGTGTACTACTGTGATCAATCTGAGGACAGGTTCTCACACCAGGTCTCAGAACAGAGGGGCTGCAGTACCTTGCTGAGGTAATGTTCATTCATAGCCTTAGCGATGTGTCTGATCTCACAGCGCTGATCTGCCTCTCTTTTCCTCTCATTTAATTTTTCGGCAAGGGTTTCCAGCTCAGTGAGAGCCATCTGAAGTGGAAGACGGTCGGGATGACCCACCGGCGTGTTTTTCAGCATGTCCTACAAAGAGATAATGGATGTTAAAGTAGCCTGTGAAAACTACGACAACAGAAAAACTGAATGAATAAAAACCTAAGCATATATGAAACCTCTTATGTGAGTTCATGAACTACATGAAAGTGACTCTACATCAGGGTGACTATTGATGTGAAGCTGATCAGAAGGAAAGAGGCGCCCTCTTCTGGAGAAGTCAAGACATTTTTAATATTTAAGTATACTGGAGTACATGTATTTTTTTTAAAGGTAAAAGAGCTGAAAGTTTGTGTGTGTGTGTGTGTGTGTGTGTGAGAGAGAGAGACAAGACGCACTTGCAGCAGCCGTATAAACTGAGGGAACCGCTGAATAGGCTTCATCATCAGTCCATATAGGGTCAGATGGTCTTTACTGGTTTCCTGACGATGCTATGGACAAAACACAAACAGTAAAGCTCAAGAATGAATTATGCACAAAAATATATACTACCGTTCAAATGTTTTGGGATTAGATCACCAAAGCCTTGAAAGTTGTGATTTACATAGCAGAACAATGTAGAACTGGCTGACGTAATTACAGCGGCACAGGAATATTCTGGACTCTTTTGGGATATCTAACCTTGAGGAAGTCAAGGAAACTGGGCTTAGCGGCACACGACTTCCGCACCACTCCCATCGCCAAGCTGACGTTATTCACATATTCACTGTAAGCGTCCAACACCATGGACTTAGAAAACTGCAAAAGAGACAGAGAGAGTGGTGATGGCACAGATATGACAGAGGAAACAATTATGCTTTTTTTTTTTTTAACGAGATTGTTCCCTCATGAACTGCAGGAGTTTTTACTGATGCAGATACATTTTAGACACACACACACACTTCACAACAGATGGTTAAGGGTGGAAAAAGTTTGTACATGTAGAAACTTAGATGGAGGGTGTGGTGTGTGATTAAAACATGTAAGTCCAGGAGTTAAGACAGGGCACACAGGCGCTATATTAATGTAGTCCTTTTCACATAGAAAAACACAATGTAATAAAATTCTGATTAAAAAATAATGAAATCCTTGAGATGATCAGTGCTGTAAGTTTTCACACACCAGAGCTCCCACAACAAATCAATTCAGTCATAAAATCAGATATCTCACCGATGCTACAAACACGTCTCCGATCATCTCCAGCTCATCCCAGTCGGACACACGGCTGGCCAGTGCCATCTGGAAAAGGGCATGGCACTGCAGGATCTCCCGTATACGATAAAACACCACCTTACGTTTGCGGTCACTCAGTAAGCGAGGCTCAATCTCAGCCAGCGACTTCTCGTATTGCTGTTATGTGCAAAGCATGTAAAAATAATTTATATTATTGGATAATTAATGTGTGCAGAAACTTACATTATAATGCATTTAAAAACAAATTTTCCACTGCAAAGTAAACCAGCACAGACAAAAATAGTAAAAAAAAAACCTCTAAAATTCTCTTGAGCGCTTCCAGATAATTCTTCTCACTCTCTAGAATCATCTCCAGAATGCACCTCCTCATCACCTGTTTACATTATCATGAACACACAATAACAGCATACGGGGCACTTAAGTCACACACAGAAAATGTATGAATGTCTTGAACTGGTATTTATTTGAAAGAAATTACTTCATTCACTACTGTTCAAAAGTTTAGAATCAGTAAGATGTTGCTGTTTTATTTGATCAAAAATACAGAAAAAACAATAACATTGCGAAATATCATAATTTCTGTTTTAATATATTTTAAAATGAAATTTATTCCTGTGATGGCAAAGCTGAATTTCCAGCAGCCATTACGCCAGTGTCACGTGATCCTTCAGAAATCAGTATTGCTGTGGAAACCATGATGTATTTTTCAGATTATCTGATAAACAAGATTGCAATTGAAATCTTTAATAATGTAAAAGTCTTAACTGTAACTTGACAAATGCATGCTTGCTGAATAAATATTAATAAAAAAATACTGACCCCAAACATTTGAACAGTAATGCATATCCCCCCCCCCCAAAAAAAGGCTGTGTGAGGCAGTACCTGGTGTTGAGAGAGCCCGTCAGGCGCAGGTCCCAGCACTGGGTCCACATTAAAACACTCCACCTCAATGAACAGATCTGACTCTTCATCAAAGCAGCTCGGTTTCTTCTCTAAGGAAATAATGATGAATCAAATTAATTAAACAGAAAGTGGCATTTAATCAAGATGACAATCATTTGTGAATTAATTAATTAAGCTGGAGGATGTACTACTGTGCTCTTACCATGACAGAGAGATCTGGTGCGGATGAAAGATCGTCCCTTTCTGACCGCAGCTTTGGTTTTCTGCAGACCATCTTTAGTTCCATCTTTGGCTGCTTTTACGAGCCGCTGCATCTGTAACACATGCAACATCATTCAGCAGTGAGTTCTGAACTACAATCACTTAAAATAACAAGGGGGAATTCACTAAATTTTAGATAAGATTCTAAATGTGACAAAATTATGCAAATCAGGTAACAATACACAAAAACTCTATAAAGAAGCCTATACACACTGCAATTCCCGATTTATTTTAGCAAAGTTAGCTTCAGGAATAACGCACACAAAAGCATTGCAACACTTTAGTGAATTCACCCCTGAGATTTCAGATCATTTTAACTGGCGTTAACAAGATGAACCCATCACCATGGAGAATAACTATCCTACTTCAACATAAGATCTCAACAAGACATGCATCTAAACACACGATGAAAAGATTGATACTGACACCAGATGAGTAAAATGAGGGCTGAGAGAACATGAAGACTGATGGATAAATAAGAGAAACAGCGACTGCAACTGCAGCTCCGCAATTGCAAATCTGCAGAACTATTCCAAATGCATTCCCATTATTCCAACATTTAATTAATGTTTGCCCTGCTGTGGCAGTCACTGAAGGGGAAAATCATATACCAACAATGTTTTCAAATACAGAATGACATGCGAAGCCACACGTGAAGTGAGCATGAATGAGAGCTAAAATTGTGAACAACATTCACTCTCCACAGATGACAACAGCAACATCTATGGAGACACAAACAGATGTTTAGTGGGGATGACGGAGGTCTGATGATTTCACAGAGGAAGCCCACCACCAGGACAACTAGCAGAGACGGAGAGCTGTCAGTCAGACTGACATATGCTTTCTTGTACTTTTACCTTTTGCTCATGTTTGTGTTTGAGCTGCTGTAGCTCTACTGTCCCCACTGTGTTTACCATGAGATCTCGCATCTTTCTCTCATAGTGCTCTTTCAAACGTGCCAGATCTTCAGACAGCTGAACAAGGGGCAGAGAACGAGTTACTGCACACAGCCGCCATCACTTCATTCCCTCATTCTATTCAGAATCTCACTCCAGTAATATACCTAATGTCTACATGGCATGCTGTTGTTTACTATTCACTGAAAATAAAATTCCATAATATTTAAATAATTTGATAATTATTTATATTATTAATTGTCTTATAATAAATATTTTTCTGTAATGCCTGATAAATCAACATTACAAACACTTTTTTTTTTTATAAATAAATAAATACACAAAAATGAAAATCAAATTAATTCTGAAATAATTCTTAAATACATGATTACTTATTTTAAATAACATTAGGTAAAGATTGTGTAAGCATGAGACAAAATTATTGTTGGTTATAAATGATGGCATGTTAGAGATTACAATTCAGAAATTTTACTTAAAAAAAAAAAAAAAAAACTTCCTTTAACGCATTTAATTTTGAGCACTTCCTCACAAATGAATCTTAAACCTCACACACACACACACACACACTCTTAAACAAACTCCCACAAATCCCTCTCTCATTGAAGGTTTCAATATTATGACTCCATTTGTTCCGCCAGTTCAGAAATAAACCAATGCCTTGGCCAGAGACTTTTAAATAAACACACACACACAGACACACAGAGAGTATTGACTCAAATAAACCTCTTCTATTAGATCAGAGCTTACACATACAAACAAAATCAAAACCATTACAAGCAGGCTGAAGTCTTTTCCCATTGTTTCTAAATATTAGTGTGGGCAAATATGAAAAACCTATGATCCATGTATCAGATCTCATTACACACAGACACCTCTAAACATCTTTCACACTAAATCTCTGCTGTTCAAGCCAAAGAAACAGTTGAATTATAGACAGCAGAGGAAAAAAAGAGAAATAAGAGAGAGAGAGAGAGAGACGGTATGAGTGTGAATACACACATGTGTTTTCTTGCTGGGTGCACGGCCCCTGACAAAGGCATCGGGGAGGCCATTCTCTCCATGTCCATTCTCTGTGTCACTGGCTTCCTCATAGCTTTCAAACTCACTGGAGCTCCAGCCGTTGTCCAGAGAGCTGCTGCCGCCCTCTTCCCCGAACTCAACATCATCATAGATCATCTCATCTGGGTCTGACATGCACACAGTTTTCACATTATTCAAAAACAGTTATTATTACACATTATTACAATCAGTTGTAACATCAGAGCTGTCAGTCACATGACACTGTCTTATTGCTGAGTAGGCAAATTTTACTCTCAGTTTTAATATCTCTCACATTTTCATAGCCAGGCTACAGGGGTGGAAAAACTATTCATTTATAGATGCATCAATTCTCTCAAACAATTCTGAATCAATCAACTAATCTGAATAAGAATCTAATTATTAATACCTGTAGTTATTTAAAACCATATGCAGGATGAAACGGATATAAAATGTGCAATGTGGTGTGGAATCACAACATGAAATTCCAGCTGTTACCAGGACGGTTAATAAACATGAACAAATACATCACACAATAAGTTAAAGAAAAAGACCAGATGAACACACCTGTAGTGGATCCAGAGTTCTCTCTTGGTACATCATCATAAATCACTTCATCTGGGCCTAAAGCAAACAGAAACATGTCAACAAACACACAAGGCTCAAATTCTCATGTCCAACCAAACCAAAGCGGTGCAGTGGGTCTCAGAGTGTGTGCACAGTATGTGTTAACGAATCCTCTGAAGGAGGCTGAGCACTTCTTCAGTGAGAAGGAAGGAAATGTCTGAGATTCTCTTCAGAAACAGGAAACAGCTAAACAAAGCAAACAAGGCTTCATACATACATTCACATAGAAATCTAAGCATTTGATCAGCTCAGCAAAATGCTAAGAACTTACTTTCCATCCAGGCCGTGTTCGCTGGGTCTGACACCCACTTAGTAAGAGCATCTTCCTCTCTGATGACTGGACACTCTTCACTGAAAACACTGGGCATACCACTTGAAATTAGTATACATACACACTTCCCTTTACATATCCATCTGTGTTTGCACTGCAGTATTCAAATATTATTATGAGAACATGAAGTACAAACTATTTTGTACATTAGCATGCAAACACAAAACCACCACACAAATATAGAACGAAATACACGAAGATAGATAAAAAAAAGAGAAATAAAAAGAAGTTTCATACAGCAGAAGGACATTAATATGCATCTGACATCTCAGAGGAAGTAAAGCAGTACTGCACATCTGTGCGGTCTCACTCACCTGTCCACTGGAGTATTTCCTGCTCCCACCACAGTCACTGCAGGACACAACGAAACAATTCATGCATTAAAAGAATAGCACAGATAAACAAACTTGCCTGGATATTTTTCATAACTGTAAAAATCATAATTATAAATTGAGCCTACATATGAATTAGTAAAATGGTAATAAAAATGTAAAATACTGCGTGTTAGAAATGGTTTTGTGAAATGTGTATACGTTTGAGAATACTCATGTAAAATTTAGTTAACATTCAGGCTACTGTTACACTTTAGAGAAAACAGGAAACTTCATCACAGCCAAAGCCACAGCTAAAATTATCCCCAACTTCCTCATGGCAAAACTTCATAAAAAATAAAAAAGGAGAGACCGAAACAGATAGCATGAGAGAAATGAGGTGAGAGCAAGGAAAGTGAAAAGAGATAGGATATGAATGGGGATGGTAAACCCCCTACTCCAACCAGACCAATGGAAAGAACAAATTAAATGGAAACAGGTGGGAATAATCTCTCTTTTTACCATCTTCATCCATAGAGAAGTGTCGGATGATAACTGGGGTGGTGTAGGTTGGTGGGATCACCGGCACATTTGAGGGCGTTGCATAACCACAGGGCACTGGCACTGAATACCCAGAGGGCAACCCAGGGCTACTGGGTACATCCTGAATGTCTCTTTCACTCTCATTGGCTGAGGGAGAGGAAGGAGGGCTGCTCTGCTCTGACAGCAGCTGCTGCTGGATAGGGCCGATGTCAATCACAGAGTAGGGGCTGACTTTGAGCTTGGAGTTGGATGCAGAGGTGGGAACCACACCAGCACCTCTGTTCACTATTGATCAGAAAGTACAGTGACTTATCAGGAAAGTCTGAGACTGTAAGTCTTCTAGGAAAGTGAAAAATACATTTCCATAGGAAAATACACAGAAATCTCAGTTTCTGCAGCTATTCTAGTGAATAATCATTGTTAATTCATATTATCTTATGTGGGAGGGATTCCTGATACAAATACCTACATTAACGAGTTAGAGAGAAAGAGACAGATGTAACCTCAGAAACCATGCAAGAATGAAAAAAAAGCAATTGGATGCAGTGGGCTGCCACCAAAATGGCTGGTGATTGGATTTCCAGTCAGTTATACACAAAGCCGTTGTAGTGGGGCAGACTGATAACTGTACACAGCACAAAAAATGAATTGTGATGTTTCATGCTCACGAAAGGAAGTGGTTAATTGCACAAAACTCAGTGTAGTCACCACAAACCATCACAACAAAATACCATAGGACAGGGGTTTTTCAAAATTTTTAATAGCAAGGATGTCTAAATATGATGGTCCTGCGAGAGACCCCCTTCATTATATATATCAGTGTTTCCCAACCTTTTTTTAGTCGCGGCACCCTTTGGAAATTTTAACAAACTTGTGGCATCCTACAAAATACATTTTGTCACAATATTTGAATTTCTAACTTCGATGTGATAATTTGAAAAGTATAGATATTCGGTACAACAGGGAAGAACTGCAGAATATAATGTCATACAGATATTTTTTATATTATTAAAACATTTTGTCCATCAATGGTGGCAATCAGTAGGCTAATTTCTAATGAAGAGACCAATTTATATGACGGATTTTAATGTAGGCTTTTATACATATGTAAACATTATTTAATCACCATTATAACTAGCTATCTCACAAATTTCTGCTCATTCAGTGTTTTTTTATTTTACAGTGGGGTAATTTTGGTGCAGTAGTACGAGATAGCTTGATTTCAAACTTTGAATTGAATAAAAAATGACAAG